AAATGACATCTAAATTATTTGGTTTTATAAGTAATTGCTGAATCAACCAAAATGCATTGATTTATACCAGCAAAACTAATTGTATCAGTTAAATCAGGCAGACACATATTACCGGTCAAAAGTTTGGGATGAGTGAAAGTTTTTAATGTCTTTGAATGTCTCTTCTGCTCGCCTAGGTTGCATTTATTTGATAAAAAACATGGTAAAAATGTGCAAATTTTACATATCTAAACAATATAAACATATGTTACCCTGGACCACAAAACCAGTCATAAGGGTCAATTTTTCGAAATTGAGATTTATACATCATCTGAAAGCTGAATAATTAAGCTTTCCATTGATGTATGGTTTGTTAGGATAGGACATTGGGTATTTGGCTGAGATACAACTATTTGAAATTCTGGAATCTGAGGGTGCAAAAAAAATCGAAATATTGAGAAAATCGCCTTTAAAGTTGTCCAAATGAAGTTTTTAGCAATGCATATTACTAATCAACCATTAAGTTTTAATATATTTACAGTAGGAAATTTACAAAATATCTTAATGGAACACGATCTTTACTTAATATCCTAATGATTTTTGGCATGAAAATAAAAATCAATAATTTTGATCCATAAAATTTAGTTTTGGCTATTGCTACAAATATACCCCAGCGACTTAAGACTGCTTTTGTGCTCCAGGGTCACATATTGTGAAATGTAATTTATTCCTGTGATTCAAAGCTGAATTTCCTGCATCATTACGCCAGTCTTCAGTGCCACACGATCCCTCAGAAATCATTCTGATTTGCTGCTCAAGAAACATTTCTGATTATTATCAGTATTGTAACAGTTGTGCTGCTTCATATTTTTGTCGAAAACCATGATACATTTTATTTTTCAGGATTATTCGATGAATGGAAAGCTAAAAAGAACAGCATTTACTTGAAATATAAATCTTTTTAACATTATAAATGGTTTTACTGACACTTTTGATCCATTTAATGCATCCTTAATTAATACAAGTATTAATTTATTATTTTTTCATACTTACCCCAAACCTCTGAATAGTAGTATATCAAGGTTTCCATAAAAATGCGAAGCAGCACAGCTGTTTTCAACATTAATAACAATCAGCAAATCAGCATATTGATTAGAATGATTTCTGAAGGATCATGTGACACTGAAGACTGGAGTAATGATGCTGAAAATTCAGCTTTGCATTACAGGAATAAATTATATTTTACAATATGTTTACATAGATAACAGTTATTTTAAATTGTAATAACATTTCTTATTTTTTTCTACTATGTTTTTGAACAAATAAATAATCCTTGGTCAGCAGACTTTCAAAAACATAAAAAAATCGTACCGTTCCCAAACTTTAGACCGGTATAATTTAAGGTAATGGTTGCAGGCTACCACTTTTTAGTGCTTAAAACATGTAATCAAAAAGTGGTTAATATTAATGTTAATAAATTAATAAATAAACGTTGTCAACCAATAGTCATAACTAGGTTAATAAGCATCATTTTAGCACATTAACACTGATGTTTGGCTCTATTCTAGTATGAAACATCCACTTTCAAGATCCATTATATTCCAAATGGATAATATGAAATCCCAATCTATTTTATTTCTTGTCGATACCCTGTTTTGTATAAAATCATGATACCAGTTAACAGTTTGTACCATGTTTAAAAATGACACTGGCATTAAAGTGTGATAAGGAATCAGATGTTACAGACAGGCTTGAATCATTTTCTCAATGCTTTTTAAAGAGACCCTCAGGACTACTGTGCCCCTTCATTTATTTGGATCGGTAAAATCCAGCTTCCTTCTCTCCCAGCCCTGTGCTTCCTCAATGCAGGGACATGTAACATACTGTTGCTATAACAATGTTATCTATTATTTATTCTCTCATTTTCTTAAAAATGCAGACACCTAATTAGTGTGTGATCACGCTCAACATTACATGGAGATTCGCGTCTACTTTACCACAATCCCACCCCCACGTTGACACTTCCAATTTGATTGGTTGCATATGTGTAGATGCTATTTTTTTGTATTTCCCCCCAATGACAGTGCAGTGAAGCAATATGAGGTCTGTTTGTTAATGAGATGACACTGCAGAGGTTAGAGAAAGGTTTACAAATCCACACTGGTGCTGGGGATCAGATCAGCACGAAAGTGTGTGAATGAGTAAAGCAACTGGTGGAGAGCTTCACTGAATGTGCTAAATAAGCGAAAATATTCTGTTCTGAGGACTTGCTGGATATCATGGTCAGATGCACAAAAAAAGCTGTTCATCTACTGCAACATACTTAATATGCTTATATAATATGTATATGATCATTAGGGCTGCACGATTATGAAATTGTAATTGCAATTATTAATTACGATTAAATGAATGATGTTTACACCTTTGTTTGAAGCAACTGCATTCCATATTTTTATGAAAATAAACAAGCTGAAAACACTAACTGAAAAACTTTTATTGCTTTTCTATAGTATTAAGCCTCAAATGTCAACTATACATCGGATTGGTTTCTTCTTTAAATAAAAATGTAAATATATGCATGGTATTATAATGCTATACTAAAATTAAAATTAAAATTAAAACAATGGAAAAACCCTTAAGATAGCATGTACAAAGAAAAAAAGCATCTTAAGCATGCAGAATAACATAAGTGGACTTTGAACGATTAGTTGCTGCTTTGAACGATTATGTAATTGTGGCATCCGTAATTGTTATCGAGAAATTCGATTAATTGTGCAGCCCTAATGATCATACTTATGTACAGTACTGTGAAGTGATGACAAATGTACTTTTGGTTGATCTGACATCTATTGGCCTTACCTGTTAAGAAAAATCCTAGGAGATGTATGGATATTTCTAAATTGAATGGAACCGATTTAATATATATATATATATATTTATTTTTGTATTTTTTTTTGGTGTTTTGGCTTAGTGTTATGTTAGAATATATATATATAATTTTTTTTCACCTTAGGGTAGACTTTTAAAATCCAAACTATGTTATAGTTTATCCAATGGTACATAATTAATAAAAAAAAACGATTTATTTGTTTAAAAACAAACCACACATATGTCAGTAATTCAGTGACCTATTCATAAAGTCACTTGCTTTGATCCTGAATGAATGAGCTGTTTTAAATGAACCAACAGAATGAATGAATCAGTGACTCGTTTAGACAGTGATTTACTTTCATATTTAGTGCATAATTTCTTTTACAAAACTTCATATTTCTATATTCACTATCTTTTATATTTAAAAAGCTAATATCATAACATTATTTATGTAATTGCAACTGCTGTGTAAATGCATTCATGCCATCTCCGAGCTGCATTAAACAGTCTGTGTAAATATATCTAAATGCCACTTCAGATGCAGGTTCTGTGCCACTTCTGTAGTGCAAAGATGTTTTTATGTATGCTGATTTGATGTGATTGATAAGTGTCTTATTATTCTAAATGCATTTATTGAAAATATTTTTAGAATTTACATGAAAGACTTGGCACACATTTAAAAAAGTTAAAAAAATTGCACTCATCAAGGTAACATGAATAAATACATACATGAATAAAAATGTCACTGGAAATCAAAATAAAGGGTCAAAGATTTCCCCTCACTGGAAGAGTTAATTTATTTTGTTGTTTACAGGTTTAAGATTAATTTTTAGTTTTTATCCTGGCTTCACTGAATCATGCAATGTGTCCTCCTTTTTGGTATTATTTAAATGGTCATACAGTCATTTCCAAAAGCTACCATTAGCTTTACCAGTGGATCATTTTGTGTATATACGTATATTCACCATCTGCCTCTCTAAATATCGATATTGGTTGACCACTATTTAAGAAAAAAAAAACCTAAGATAAACAGTGAGTGTACAAAATCTAATAGGTAATTACCTACTAATATTCCCAAAAACTAAATATTTTGTTTGTGTCCCTCCAATAATTACATGACAAACTGTAATCATTTATGTTGTGTAATCATTTATGTTATCTTTCTCAAATCTGTACCTCTACAGTGCCGGGGTTATTCTGCATTGCCAAGGGAACTTGCTTTTGAATTCAAAGTGATTTTGAAATACCGACAGACTGTGCTCACAAAGCAGTCCTATCACCGAATGCTCATCCTCTTATTGCAACACTTTCACTTGCAAACGAGACTGGACAAGCATGGGTGGCGCAAAAGAACTGTCATAATTACAAAGGGATTCAATCACAAAAACATCAAAGCAGAAATACAAAACGACTTGTCATGTACTGAGCAAGTGTAACGCTAAAGCCAACCACAACAACTGAGGGGAAAAAAATATTTTCAAAAGCAAGAATTCTGATAAATATCAGAAGTTCCTCAGAGGAAAAAAACAAAAAAAACATGATGCATAGAAAAAAGTAATATCAACCCGAAACTATGAAATTCTCTGCCTGACTCTCTGCGACCTCTCCACCCTACCCGAACTCGAAACCCAGCTGAAAACACATCCCTTTGTGTTATGTTACTCTGGCTTCTAATTCTGGCTTCTTTTCAACCATATCTGTTCTGTCCTTGTATTTTTTTTCCATTTTTGTTTGTGACACAGTATGCCTTGCTTTCATTATGATTTGTGCTACTGTTAGTTATATTATTATCATTAATATTAAGCTGTTCAATACCATTACATTTCATTTGAAGTCCACAGTGAGGCTTGATGTTAATAGGTTCTGCACAACTGAAAGCAATAACTGGATCATTATAAGATTATGGGATAATATATGGGGTAATAGAAACTCTTCACTGCAGTACGGCCTGTTACAGTGTTTCTCCACTTGTTGTATTGCTGGATTAAGCTGAAATCTATCAAAGTAGTGACTGGTCTATTACTGATGGACAAAGATGATAATTAACACAGTTCATAGAGATGTTCGCACAGAAATTCCAGCAATTATTCCACAGTCTCGTTCAGTCAGTGATATGAAGCAACACTGAGGTAAAAGCTCATAGTACTCACATGCATGAGTGACAGCGAAACTGTTGGAGGACTCCAGGTTATCTACGTTGTAATTGAGATGGAAGGGCTTCTCAGTCATGTTCTGATTGGTGTTGTAGAGCTGCACAGCGAATCTGAAAGCACTGTGTTCTTGCACGGTGGAACGCATGAAGAGCCCACCTTTATGAAGACCAAACAGCAGTGAATCAGAGATTATGCACTGATTGCATGCATATAAAGACTGTATGAATACAAAACACCTGGCTTAAATCAGCACTTGATAGTGACAGATCCATTTAGACACATTTATGTATGTGTTGCAACATTGTTATACACAGAATCGATTCGATTTCCTTCCATTCGTAGGAAGGAACTTTCTCTTAAGTTTATGAAAAGCGATTGATGGCTGACATGCATGCGGAGTGGAAACCTTAAACATTTTTGCATAATTATACTCATAATCGTTTTATTATTTATGACAATTATGTTGGTATCATTTGCGATGATTCCTTAGATTGCGTTAGTGCACTTAATACAACGGACTACAATACCGTATCCATATATAACCTACACATGCATCGAAATAAGACATCGACATACAAAGCCTAGCGATAAAAGAAGTCAAGCATGTCCTGATGACGGACTCACCGATATTGATTTGATTGGGGAAGCCAGCGATAGATGTGCCGAATAGCCATAATAAAAAAAGCAGCGCGCTTTGAGCCATTTTCTCTCCTGCCTCAAAAACCAAGCCTTAGAAAACGAGCTGTTTGAGGAGAATCATCAACGCAGAAATCCAGCCGTGAGTGAAGCGGAGCGACTCATGGAGAACAATTCTTCTGCATGTGAGGACAGAGAGAGAGAGAGAGAGAGAGAGAGGGAGAGAGAGAAAGAGAGAGAGAGAGAGAGAGAGAGAGGGAGAGGGTCTGGTGCTGAAGATGGTCGAGGCGACTGAGAGCATCACATCCAGAGTGAGTGCGAGCGGCTCCTCCAATTGGACCAGCAGGGCGATATTGATCAAACTTGAACTGACGTTGAAGAAGAAGGAGATTTGGTAACACTCTCTATGAAGCCTGTATATTTAATGCATGCGTTACAGAGGTTTTCGTGATGCACCATACTACACGTTGTTCACGAATCAACGGAACCACATTTATAATGCATTATAACACTTAAATATTCATGTAATAAAGCTAATGCGTTTTAATGCACACTGTACACAGTTATCTCTGGCCATAAAACGTTGTAACCGTAGTTATAGCGCTTTTTAAGTTGCAACATAAATAAATATACTGTATATTGTAAGCAAATACAATTGCATCATAGGCCTAATATTTATCAATTCATATTATAAACGTCATTGATTATAGTGCACATTGTAAGCAATAATTTTTTTCCTTCTTCCATAAATCATTTTAAGTACAGTTATATATATATATAAGCTACCGTTGATGTAATATTCATCGACTGATGTCTAAACGTTTAAAGAATATAATGTATTTTAACATGATGCAGCGCATGACTGTGTGTTGTAATGCCTTTACTGTTTAAATATATAAACATGACTAGGTAAGTAATATAATGCATTCTACCTGTGGTTATTCTCACTATTCATGAGAGCATGCATCTGGTTAAGAGACGTCATGAAAGAGTCAAAATGCCTTGAGAAGCAGAAGTACAGGTGGAAACCCTCCGGCCTCAAGGGGACCGATATCATATGAAAATGACCTCAGCAGCACCCTGTCAAGGGTTCGTGGAGTTTATTCAACGCATGTAATTATCTGAATTAAAACGCAGCGTTTGACATGTGACAGGCAGCCTTTTGATGTCTTTAGGTGTGTGCATTTATGTTTTAACACTCAATCTAATCATGCATAATATATGTCGTGACGCGACGCAACTAACCACACGCTGTCAATATGATACTGGAAGTGCTGACATTACAGGCAGCTCGCTGCGCTGTGCGTTCAGTGCAGATGGGGTGTCACGTGGAAGGAAGACTGTATGGCATTGTTTAGGAAGGCGCAGACGCATAACATGAAGCCCTTTGAGCACCATCGATCGCTTTGTTAGGACTCGTTCACCGTAGCGTCCTACTTTGAAGCGATTGGATTATCAACGGCATGAAGCAAAGAAGTGATATGTCACCTTTTGGGTTTAAAGAGAGAAAACGGCTTCTAAATGTGTTTTTGAAAGTTGAGGCTTGGGCACACCGCGTTTAAACGCGACACAAACGCGCAAAGAGCAGAGAGACCAACCCAATGGTCGTTTGACGTGTGCGTGCGCAATACACCCGTCTTTCACACAGACTGCTAATAGTGTTAATGAGTTAAGTGAATAATGAATGTGGACTCAGCAAAGGGACCTAATTTTATTTTGTTACGATGACCCTTTTATATTGCAGCTATTATTGAATCGGGCTGCTGTCCATGGTTCTGAACACATGCAGTGTACTTTATATCACAGTGTTCAATACTGTGTATTTACATTAGTGAGTGCTGTGTAAGTCTTTGTACTGTGTAACTTCAGGTAACTGTCCCAACCGATCAATACACAATATACAATTAGAATTACACATTAATCTATAATACATCATTTCAACACAATTCAACATCTGTAATAATATTATTTGAGATTTGTTTGAGTCTTTGTTGAGATTTTTAACTAAGGCACACATAGCCTTACATTGTCTATCCTCCGTGTTATTTTTTACCAATCGGAAGAACAATTCAAGGATGAGTTCCCATTTATCGTGGGCTGCAAAGCTCTACCAAAATTGAGTTTTTAATTGCATTGCACACAGACAAGGCTTTAGCTATTGATACTAAAATTGTCTTGCGACCCCAGTGCAGCATTGCAAAGGGAAAACGTCATTGCAAGTTCCCTTCAACAGCAATTCTGCAATCACTAGCAAATGTGCTCATCAAAATAAGTAATAAAGGAGATGTATTAGTTCATTTCAAAGCATTCTGTCTTTAGTCTTGGGAGATTTTAATTCCCCACCATCTCTTAAAACCACATAGAGTGTTTGAAAATGGTTCATGAAAACTGATGATAATAATAATAATTTAAAAAAGACATACAGTATGTAGAGATTCTAAACGATTTGTAAAATCTCTGAAATGTCTTAAATTAAGTTTTTTTATCTTCAGATTCTGTTGCTCATTTATTCAATGTGATTCATATGACAGGTAACATCAAATGCATCTCTGTAGTCTTCTGTGGTTAGGCAACATGAAGTGTGTTTCATGAAGGTGAGCGTCCACAGCAATATTCCCTACATTAGTGTGTCAGTGTGGAGGAGCAAATGCAACCCCAGCATTGATTTTTCTGAAACTGTCATCGTTAATGACAATATTGTCATTCACCTTAGCATCATCATCATATAAAAACTGATCCCATAATCATTAAAGGTTACAGTTTCATTGCTGCACCAAGGCAATAAAAGCAATTGATTAGCTTTGAAGATATAAATAAGCATGCTTTATAAATTGTTTACAGACTGATGAAATGAAAAAAAAAAATGTTCTGTCAAACCTGAATGATAAACACAACTGAAAGATAGTCGACTAGAAGTTGATCTTATATGCATAGCGCTTTTCACAATACAGATTACCACAAAGCAGCTTCACAGAAATATTGAAGTGAATAGTGAATATTGGCTAGCTTACAATTGGTGATGTTATAAATGATCAACCAGCTGAGATTTTTAAAAAGTATTATTCGCTTTATGCGAGTGTTGACGCTGGTAAAGTTTTATATGTGTATAATAGTTGTCAATTAAAGTATTGTGCCATTGCTCAAAAACAAACAAACAAACAAACAAACAGAAATGCAAGTAAATTGCAAACATGAAAACTCTGACATAATAAGAGCACTTATTAGCCTTGTATAGTATGTGCTTATTAAGACACTGCAAACTATAACTCTAATGTTCAGAGCCCAGTGCTGTGTAACAATAATAACAGCATGTGTGAAAATGCTAGTATTTTCCCTTTTAATTATTTTAATGTTTATCTGACCTAGTCAAAATCCTGCCCTCAGATGTTCTTGTGTAGAGAGCTATTAATAATAATAATAATAATAATCAAATATAACAACATAACATACACACAGTGCTTAAGTAGCTTAGGTAAAGTATATATCTTGGAAATTAATAAGCTACTATTTTCATTAAGTAGCTTATTAATTTTATGGATAAGAAGCACCGTCAGTAGTTTTGTTTTGAACAATCCTCAATGTTTCCAAACATTTGTTTGTTACATTGAAGCCAGTGTAATGTAACCAGCAGACAGAGAGCCATTTTGTTACCATGTGACAAGAAAACCATAAAACAGAGGGGACTCCTGCAGACTCAGTCTATGTGTCCCTTAAAATAGCCAATAATGACATGGCAAGAAAATGTCCTGATATACTGTATATGATGCAATGATTATTTTAAGTATTAATGTTTAAAAACATTCATTAAACATACACATCTTCAAGGTGAAAGCAAAATATATTTAATTCTTAATGGTTATAGCACTTGGGATTTTCAGAGTCATTAAAGGTGACATTTCTGCACCATAGAGAGAAAAAAAAAAGTAATGTATGATTTGTTGAAAACAATGTAAAAATTTGTGAGCATGTATAAAACCACAATTAAATTTCTAACAACTTGCCACATGCATTTTTAAACACAAAGATTTTTCTCTTATTTTTGGAGCTCTTTATTTAACCCTTTAACAATTCAATCCTATTCTATAGTATATGTTTATGCTAGTTATATCTCGGATCGATGTGGTGGGGTTGGATGATACAAAGTGCCACCGATGTTTATGTTTCCTGGATCCTCTGAAAAGGTGAGACTTTTTAATCTTTGCTTGTCGTGGTGATGGCCCAGATGTGTCACTACCATTCATTCACATTACCCCACATCTTGACTTGAAAAACATGCTCTTGAAAACTGTGGGATGTAATGACAGGGGCAAAACGGCATCATTCAAAGAGACAGTTGTCTCAAGCCCCTCCATATCAGTGGAGCCCAGTGACATTTAAATGGGGAAAGAGACAATTGCTTACTTTTTTCCCCCTCCCCATACCAATAGTGTTGATGTCGAGTGCTCGGGCCACTTATGTGAGAGCAAGTTTCCTTGAGTTTATGTTTACCCGTGGCATCGAAAGCCGTGCAATTGCACACCATCAACTAAATTGCAACTTCCTGAAGTGAGTACTGAACTTCCTACATGGTGATGTGTTGTCTGCTGCATACAAAATGGCCTTATTGAGAAATACTGTGATTGAGATTATAGTTATTGAAATGTGTCACGACACTAGAGTCGGCGTGACACACTTTCAGAAATAACCGCTTGGACAGTCTTTAAACGCCACATCGAGGTCTGTCACAACACTCCTCATGCGATTTGGTTTCTTAGCAAACGCTCTTTTCAGAAGTGTGACAGAGGCTTCTGTGTTATCAGCTGAGCAGACTGACACACTTACAGGCCCCCAGGGCCGAAACAGGCGTGGTCATGAGACCGCATGAATCTCCTGAACAGAGCAAAGAAACAATTGCAGAGAGCTTGGCGTTTCATATGAGGGAGAGGTGCAGATTCACAGCTCTTTACCACTGACGTATGTCAGGGTTAAATGGGATGTTCAACAAGAAAACTTGTAGGGTGAGACTTGATTTTAGCCAATGAAAATAAATGGGATTGTGAAAAGTAGGTGTTGCGCATTAGAATAGAGCCAATGTGGGAAGGATTTGTCAAGAAAAAAGACTTTTCAGACATGAAGCGAGTTATTATATTTTCATGAAAGAATACATGAATTATAATTGCTTCAAAATAAGGCCAGGAACAAGCATT